CAGCTCAGAGAAAGCCCCACCAAAGCCCTAAACAAAGCTTGAACCCGCGCGGGCGGGCGCGGCAAGTGGGGCACGTGAAGCAAGCGGTGCGCAATTCGAACGGTCGCGCATGACGTCGCCCTTCTCGCACAGGTGCTTGCCCCCCCCCTCCCTGGGCACCTACGGCGGACCTCTGATGGCGTCCTGGGATGCCGGCGATGATGATGATGATGATGATGATGATGATGCTGATCATGATCATGATCATGATCATGATGATGACGATGACGATGACGACGGTGATGGTGATGGTGATGGTAATGGTGATGGTGATGCTGATTATGGTGATGATGCTGGCGATGATGATGCTGATGATGATTTGGATGTTAGTGATGGTGATGTTGATGATTATCACGATGACGATGACGACGACGGCGATGATGATGGTGGTGGTGATGATGATGGTGATGATGAGGATGGCGATGGTGATGATGATGGCGATGATGATGAGGAGGAGGAGGACGCTCCATCTTTGAGTGAAGGTTTCCTGTAATGTCCGCCCGCCCGACGAGCGTTATCAATGGAGGTGATATTTCCCCAAATCTCGTCCGATCACAGAATGAAGGCTGCATGTAATGTCCCACCCGCCCGCCCGATTGAACGCCCCATCAGTGAGTTAATCGCACATGTAATGTCCCGCCCTCACGAACGGCGTCCCTGTGGTTGTGAGATCTGTTCTCCCAATCTTGTCCCATCACCGAGTGAAGGTTGCATATCATGCCGTGCCCGATGCCGTCGCCACGGCCGTGCCGTCACAGTTTCCGCCGCCGTCGTCGTTGCAAGCTCAAACAACGTTCAAGCAGCATTCGAACAACGCCCGATCATAGCCCACACGCAGCTCAAACACAACCCAGACAATGCTCAATCCACGCCCAAACAACACTCATACACACCCCACACAAAGCTCAATCGGTCAACGATCACTCAAACAAAGCCCACGCAAAGCCCCGACCCAGCTCGGACACCGTACAAAACAGCTCACGCAACGCTCAAACATGCTCAGGTAAAGCTCAACCGACGCTGAAGAACAACTCCAACAAACGTCCAACGAACCTCAAACACAGTGCAAACGCAACCCAAAACAAAGCTCTATCCAAAATTGTTGACGCTCCGCGTATCTCCACCGGTGGTCGTCTCTTTTTAATTATCTGCAGGTGCACTCTGCGCGATGTCGCGCCAATTTTCTGTCGCTGTGCCCCAGCCTCGGTCAGACCGCCCTCTGGACTTCTCCTTGCGGGCCGCGAATCAAAAAAGCGTATCTCCACCAGCCGCCTACCGCTCCCTGTCCGCTGCCTCGGAGCCGCCGACCAAAAAAGTATTTCCACCAGCACTCAAGTCGTCCGGGCGTTTGGAGCCTGGCGCCCCACTGGCGACTCACTCCAATGGCCTTCCACTTGCTCCCACTCAGCACGACGGACTTGACCATCCTGGTTCACGTCTCTACTGTGTGGGTCGTGCCCCCACTCAGATTGACGGGCTTGGTTATCCTGGTTCACGTCTCATACTGTGGCAGGCTCCGGATTCCATGACACTTTGTCTGTGCACGTGCTCGAGCTCTCAGGATACTACCCCTGCCGTCAGCTCCCCTTCAGCTTCGCGGCTGCTTTGTGAGTGGGCCGGCCGGCCTGTGCCTGTTGTAGCTAATTCGCCTCGCTCGTGCCCTGGACTTTGCTTCTTGCCGCCTGACCTTTGTCTCGCGGTCGCGACCGAAAAATGTATCCCCACAAGCCAATGCAGAAACGATGCCAAGGGGAGTTGAGGTGATCAGGGAAGTGGGGGAGCATGCAGAAGAACAAAGGGCGGGGTAAGCCGTCCTAGGTGGGGGAGGGAGAGGAGGGAGGAGGGAGGAGAATGAGGAGGAGTAGGTGGGCAAGGAGGAGGATATGAAGGAGGGGGGAGGAGGAAAAGGATGATGATGATGCTGATGATGATGATGATGAGGAGGAGGAGGAGGATGAGGAGGAGGAGGAGGAAACGGAAAAAGGGACGAACAAAAGAGCCTCTTCGGATGTCTCTTGAGTTTCTTGGGTGGACTTTTTGAATGTTTGGAGGCCTCCGAAAAAAAGGCCGTCATGTGCGAAATGGCGAGAAAGCAAACACACATGGATGTGCCCTAGTTTTCGGAAGGATGTCGGCCTCTTCGGGGCTTCCTTGGAGAGTTTTTTGGCCACTGGGAGGCATCTTGGAGCTGTCTTGGGTCCTCTTGGAGCATCCATTTTCGGAGCCATCTGGAGTCATCTCGGGATATCTTGAGCCATCTTGGAGAAATCTTGGACATTGTGCACGCTCCAATCGCTCGCGGGATTCCCACGTCCAGGTCCAAGGGGGGGGGTAGGGGGGGTACCCCCCCCGAAAGGGGAAGAGGGGCAAACTGAAGACAAGACACACACGACCACCACCTACGCCCTACAGGGTTGGCTGGTGGGACTCAAACAAAGCTCCAACAAAACCCAAACGAAAC